GAGCAGGGAGCCCGATGCGGGACTTGATCCTGGGACTCCAGGATCATGACCTGAGCCGAAGGCAGTCGCCCAACCAACTGAGCCACCCAGGCGCCCCCATTTAAACCATTTTAAACCATAAAACCATTTTTACAAATAGCTGGCATTTATATTAAATGGCTACAAATAATTTTGCAAAATATGGATCTTCCTACACTGCAAAGTTATTTCCTTTATGTTTTGCAAATACTTTGTCAGTGATATAGAGTAGAAAACAACAGAAGGGAAGAGACCATCAGGTTGAGGAGGAGGACGCTGACTATGCTCTGTCATTGCACTAAATGTTTGCTAAATGTGAAGTGCTTTTGAACAAAACCATTCACTATACATGTAAACCACCATGGTGTTAGGTTAATCATTTACATTTTTCTTTTTTGCATAATTGTGAGCCAGGCAAACTCAATGGTATGGTGTAGAATGGTCTGAGATGAAATTTCATTGGTCCAATTTGGGAAAAAAGTAGGTTCATCATCAGATACTAACGTTTGGTATGAATGCTAATTTGAGGTACTGTTCCTTTTCTCAGAAAAAAAAAAGAATTGGGATTCCTTTGACTATTCATTTGGTGTAGGGAACTGGGCAGGGTACATCATTGTCCTCTGGATTATGGTAGTCCTTTAGTGGCTCTTAGGGTTAAGAAGTGAGGCTGGGAAGAGAAAGAGCAGTTAAGTCTATAAAACTAGAGAGGAACTGGAGTCATTCAAGCAAGAAGTATTTTGTCATTTCTTGTGAGCAGTCCAGTCATGGGTAGACTCTAGCCTAAATTTCTTTCTTTCTTCCTTCTTTCCTCCCTCTCTCCCTCCCTTCCTCCCTTCCCTTGTAAACCCTACTCCCAATGTGGGGCTCAAACTCACAACCCCAAGATCAAGAGCGCATTCTCTACTGACAGAGCCAGCCAGGCACCCCCTGAATTTCATTTTATAAAGGTCTGGAAGGTACCACATAAAAGAGTCATGTAAACAAACCCCAGTCTCTATTCCATAGTCAGTGGTACTTCTATAAGCCACATTGTTTGTAAGGATAAATATAAATTTTTAAAAATACTAAAATTTTTTTTGGGGGGGGCGCCTGGGTGGCTCAGTCATTAAGCGTCTGCCTTTGGCTCAGGTCATGATCCCAGGGTCCTGTTCAGCGGGAAGCCTGCTTCTCCCTCTCCCACTCCCCTTGCTTGTGTTCCCTCTCACGCTGTGTCTCTCTCTGTCAAATAAATAAATAAAATCTTTAAAAAAATAAATAAATTTTTTTTCTCTGATGTAAAAAAAGAACTCCCCTCCTCCCTTTTCTTAAAACATTTCCTTTAGAAAACATGTAATTTAAATCCTTTTTCTGTTTTTGAAATGTATATAAATCCTCTAACAAGTTGAAGAAGTCACCTGCCAGTTTTACATCCCAAGACTGTCTGTTTGAAATGGGAGCAATGAGGAGGATGGCACCCTATCTCCCTGGCCTAAGTGCCCGGCTCCACATAGTAACTTCCTGTTTATCATAAAGATATGAGAAGTTTCATTTTTCCTTTGAATACAGACAGTTAACATGTAAGTAATGGGTTCTATCTGCCTGGCTATCTAAAAGGGTGGGATTTCCTTGACTTCGTAATCTTCTTTAGCAGCTTGCCTGTGATGTCCATCACTGTCTGATTTAGTGCTGATTCAATAATACAACTGTTTCTTTTTCTGCATTTGTGGAGAACCTCATTTGGGTTGGCAGGAGATTTTACTTTTAATTCCATTTCCTTAACATGTTCCTACTACCAGATGCATTACTAGAATTTATCAGGAATCCTTACAGTTACCCAGAAAGAGAACTATTGCTCTGTTTAAACACGGGGCTGAACTGCAACACAAATGAAGGGAAGATGCTTAGAGGTGGTGATAGAACTAGGAGTGGAGCCAGCAGTTCTAATTCCAATCCTTAATGAAGAAGAGAAGAAGAGAACCCAAAAGAACACACTTCTTTCCCCCAAGTAGTTTAGTTTGATCTTTCAAGGTAATTAAAACAGCTTTTCCCTATGGTTCAGTGTAATGCAATGCTTCATTCTCTTCAGGGGCGGTTGTTTTTGGAGCATAATCCTGTAATCCCGCCGCTTGCACAAATTCAGAAAAGGTCAAGGAATCAGATTTTACCCCACTATGACCTTTTTGCTCTAAAAATAAGCCAATATTGTCCCTGTAGGGCAGGGCGATGGTGCGACTGAACAATGGCTCTTCAATTCCCAGGAGCACCCGTGTATGCCGAGAAATTGCCTGCAATACAAGGATAATTTTTTAATGAAAAATTTACTGAAACTATAACTAAATCAAAGTATTTTCCTAGGTCTCTTGAATGCTAACCTCTTATTTCTATGGGAAAATAAAATAATGAAATAACACATGGAAAGTCTTAGTAGCCAGGTCCTTACCAAAATAAGGTTCTAAAGAAAAACACCAAGTAATTTATTATCTTTTTATAAGTTCCATTTAAAGATGTTTCTAGGCCCTTGCATCAGCTTGCCACAGATGGGTTCATTTCTTTCTTTGGGCTGAGCAATCTGATCAACGATATGAGCAGATAACATGTTTAGATTAAGAGCCATGACTATCTCTGGGAAGGTTAATAAATAACTGGTCTATAAGGGGCTCTGATAACTTGCAATTAAGAAAAAAAGGTTATTACTCAAATGGTTATTCAATTTGTTTGACTAAAAACAAATCTCAAAGACTAAAAAGCAGATATTAAAGTTCCAGCTGTTTTACTAGTACCTATACGGGTATATTCTTTACAATATTCTTTGCCACAGTGTTCAGTGTCTCTAAAACATATTTTGTATTCATTGAGCACCATGCCACTTGATATCCTAGATTAAACTGTCATTGCGTTTTCAAATTCTAGCTTTAGTCATAGGCCTGCTATAACACTGCTATCTGAATTCATATTCTGCATCTGGATGAGAATGTAGTCCATGAAATTTCTGCTAGAACACCACCAAAAGGGTGAGTGGAGTTTTTTTCTTTTCTTTTAGTTTAGTTTAAAACTACTGGCCATAGTTACAAGGTTGTAAAATGCATTCATGCTACAGTTCTTAACCTGATGCAAAACTGTCCATTAGTAATGCATTTTAGATAGCTAAGATACAGGGCACCTGGGTGGCTCAGTTGGTTAAGTGTCCAACTCTTGGTTTTGGCTTGGGTCATGACCTTGTGGTAGTGAGATCGAGCCCTGTGTTGGGCTCCATGCTGAGTGTGGAGCCTGCTTAAGATTTAAGATTCTCTCTCTCTCTCCCTCTGCCCCCTCCCTGCTCGTGAGTGTGCGCGTTCTCTCTCTAAAAAAACAAAAAAACAAAACTATTTAAAAAAATAGATAGGGGCGCCTGGGTGGCTCAGCCGTTAAGCGTCTGCCTTCAGTTCAGGTCATGTTCCCAGGGTCCTGGGATGGAGCCCAGCATCAGACTCCCTGCTCAATGGGAAGCCTACTTCTCCCTCTCCCACTCCCCCTGCTTGTGTTCCCTCTCTCGCTGTGTCTCTCTCTGTCAAATAAATAAATACAATCTTTAAAAAAAATTAAAAAATAAAAAAAATAGACAAGGGATACCTGGGGGGCTCAGCCAGTTAAGTGGCTGACTTCGGCTCAGGTCATGGATTCTAGGGTCCTGGAATCAAGTCCTGCATTGGGCTCCATGCTCAGCAAGGAGCCTGCTTCTCTCTCTGCCTGCCACTCCTCCTGCTTGTGCTCACTCTCTCTTTCTCTCTGATTAAAAAATAAATAAAAAAAAACATAGGTAGACAAGATACCTTTTTCTCAAATCTTACTTGAATTGGTTTTATTTAGAGTCTAGAGATGATTTGTGGGTAAGAGAGTCTACACAGTTGCCTTGTACCCAGTGGGAATACAATTGAACTTTTAGATCCAAATTACCACCCCTTAAGCATTCTCATTTGTAATTGAGGCTGCTACACTGAGCACCTTCTTTGGTCAGCAACTCACCCTGAATGCCCCTTACCAGAGCAGATTATTTCACAAATTCACTGAGGTTTACAGATGGTGTCCCCAGGAGGGACCCTGTAGTCATAAACAAATGTATTCACTATTAACTAAAAGAGCTATGTGCCTACTGTAGGCTGAGAAAGTCCAGTACTGTTTAATATTCTAATGCAGAAATTAAAAGTGTTACAAAGCTACTGGTTACATGTGGAATCAGGAAATATAATCTGACCATCTCTTGCAAAGGACTAGGAGGGTCCTTTGATGGGCTATAAATTAATCTAAAACTGTGAGTTCTTTCTTTGTTCTGATGAATAACAAGCAACAGATTTTATTTTTGCCTAAGACTTAGAGCAACTTACTAGTAACTTGAGTTAGTAAGGATTATTAAATATAGGTATTCATGAAGACTATTAGGAATTCCTAAGGATTCTTAATTCCACATTCTAAGATGGTGGCCCATGCTCAATGCCTGACATCACTGCAGAGCATCTACTTCACATGGTCTTAAGCAGATATTTTAACGCCTATAGCTTTCAAGAGGATTCTATTATTACTATATCATCATTGTATCTTGTGTTGATTAAGGTTTTTAAAGGCTGCTATTCTTTTTTTTTTTTTTAAGTTGGCTCCACACCCAGTGTGGAGCCCAGTATGGGGCTTGAACTCAGGGCCCTGAGATCAAGACCTAAGCTGAGATCAAGAATTGGATGCTTAACTGAGTGAGCCAACCAGGCGCCCCCAAAGGCTGCTATTCTTTTATTTGTAAGCTACTGATGGTTTTGCTTCATCATTACCGATTTAGTTATACTGTTTGGTTACCTTATAGTATGTAACTATGCACATTTGCATAATTGGAAGCTATAATTTAATTAAACCTAAAGATATCTTGTTATGGTTCAAATATGAATCATCTACACCACCATTATTAAAGCAGATGTATAGTTTCCTTAAAATCTGCCTGTCAATTCATATAGCAATGTGGATTAATCTTAAATGCATTTTGCTAAGGGAAAGAAGCCTGACTCAAAGGCTACATATTATTTGATTCCATTTATGTGACATTCTGGAAAAGGCAAAACTAAAGCGACAAGAAACAGATTAGTGGTTGTCAGGGCTTGGGGTGGAGTGATAGGCTGACTACCAAGGGGACACAAGGAAAATTTTAGGGTGACAGAATTGTTCTGTATGGTTCTGTGTGGTGGATACCTGATCCTGTGCGTCTGCCAAAACTCACAGAACTGTCCACTGCAAAGAGTGACTTTACTGTATGCAAATTTTTAAAAAGCCAGGATGTCTCAGGAACCCATGATAGAATATAGACTGTGGACAATGAATCTAATTGTATTACAAAGTAAGACATAATCTCACTGAAGGGGTAGGGAAGAAAGGAGCTGACCTAAATAACTAACTTTGAAAAACAGTGTTTTGCCTAGGTAGTGTAAGCCTGAAGACAAAAAGAACTGTAGACAAACACTATACTCTGTTGGTAAATTTGTTTCTCATAGGCATACATATTTATAGATAAGGAGAGCCAGGTTTCTCCTGTCAGAGAAGGAAATTATCAAGAAGCCAGGTGGGGTAGGGAATAGGAAGGATGGGAAGGCTAGAATGAAGCCAGTGCTGGGCTAGAGGCAGAGATAACAATATGAACTCATGCTAACAGAAAGAAGAAATCTGTGTATACATGGGATTTGTATATATACATATATTTCCTACATCTTTCTGCTCAGAGTGCCTAGAAGCCATGACACCCCTACAGCAACAAGCACAACTAGTGCCACACCTTGGTTTCTAAGAATCTGATAAAAGCAACCAGGGCTCCTTGGAGATGGTCTGAAGTAACATGTAATGCTCTGGCTGGAGTACTAGTACTAGAAAAAAATAAGGGGAGCATGTTAGGAGGACACAGGGGCCAAACTTGAAAGTGTTCCCAAATGGTGGAGAAGGGACAATTAAACACAGAATCCTTACAAAGGGTTCTAATTAAACATGGAAGAAATGAGGAAAATAGAAAATCCCCATTAGAACACCACAGTAATAACTGCTGCAGGCAAGATCCACTGATGGATGCTAAAATTAGTAGGCCAAATTTTAAGGAGAAACTGGATATTTGCATAGCCTCAAACTATCTTCTCCAATATATTTATTACTGTGATAGTTTTACTATATGTCCATAAACTCTGGTACTCCTCCCTCCAGGAGGTGGATCTTAATTCCCCTCTCTCTGAGTGTGGGCTGGACCTACTAACTCACTTCTAATAAACAGAATCTGAAAAGGGAACATAGTAACTTTATAATGAAGAAACCTGGCAGACACCACTTTAACCAGGTGATCGATCAAGGTTCACATCTCCAGTAAAAAATCACGTTGATATCATGTACTCCCTGATGAGATGAGATGAAAAGGGCTCATCACCTCTGTGATAGTCTCCCCCAAAATGCGTATCTTCATGGGAAACGTGAGACAAACTAAAATTGAGGGAAATCTTCAAAAAAACTTGACTACTGCTTTTCAAAGTGTCATGAAAGACAAAGATCAGGAAACTGTCACATATTGGAGCAGACCAAGAAAACAACGACAGCTAAAGGCAAAGTAGTATCCCTGACTGGATTCTGGAATAAAAAAAGGACATCAGTTGAAAAATTGCAGAAATCTGAATAAAGTCTGTAATTTGCTTAATAGTATTGTACCAATGTTAATTTTTTTTTTTTTTAAGGGCAGGAGAGAGGGGTGGAGGGGCAGAGGGAGAGGGAGAGAGAGAATCTTAATCAGACCATGCCCAGTGCAGAGCCTGAGGTGGTGCTCAATCTCACGACCCTGAGATCAAGACCTGAACCAAAATGAAGAGTCACACGCTTAACTGACTGAGCCACCCAGGCACCCCAATTTCTTTGTTTTGATAAATGTCCCATGGTTACATAAGATGTTAACATTAGGGGATGCTGGGTTAAGAGTATATAGGAACTTTGTACTATCTTTGTAACTCTTCTGTAAAACTAAAATAATTCGGAAATTTAAAGTTGAAAAAAAAAATATTTTTGTCTAGTGATAATTTGCTCACATGTTATGAATCTGTGCTATTCAAATAGTTTGCATCAAGGCAAGTGTAGTAAAATTGCTGGGATATAAAGCTTATGAGGCTATATTTTGTAATAGAAAATCATGCATACAAAAGGAATAAGCAATTCACCTATATTATTCTTCAAATATTTATCACAGAATTCTTTTCTTCACTTGATGGAGTTAACAGTTAAAAATATTTTAAGAATTATTTTCTAAGAGAAAAGGCTGAAGCAGGTATAATGCTATTTTGTCTGGCTTGTCCCTAGAATAACTAAGATTGACTTCCTCTCCCCTTTTTACCAAGCTAATGCATCTCTACAAATTGGAATAACAGGATAGTAGCTTCAAGAGCTCCCTTGGCCAGGTTCAAAGAATTAGTGTTTCTTTCCTTCTATACTCCCCATCAGTCTCACCCACACAGTTAGCTCTTCTCTTGTCTTCTCAGTATGTTGGAGGAAGGGCACAGGAAATAGTAAGTTCTTTCTGCAGGGTAAGCATGGATAATTGCAAAATTAAGGATGTAAAAGGAAGCTGAAAGGAACAGAAACTGGCCATACATTAACTGCAAAGCTTGTAAATGGGATGCGCAGTCCAAATGTAGTTCAGTTTCTTAGCAGCATGCCTGGAATTCTGAACTCTCAAGCCACCTGCTCTTTCCCCAGTCCTGCCACTCTGCCAAAGCCCATGAATGATGATGCAGGAGAGGTTTTTGGTTTTGTTTTTTTAAGATTTATTTATCTGATAGAGCGAGTGAGTGAGCAAGTGAGGGGAGGGGCAGAGGGAGAGAATCTTAAAGCAGACTCCCCTCTGAGCACAGAGCCCAATGTGGGGCTTGATCTCACGACCCATGAGATCATGACCCATGAGATGATGACCTGAGCCGAAACCAAGAGTTGGACACTTGACTGAGGCACCCAGGCATCCCAGATGATGTGGGAGAGTTAGCATGAAAAAGAGTACTACACTGTGTAAGTGTTGTTATGGGATAAATTGTAGATATACTAGTTGCTGTAATTACAATGGTGGGATTAAAAATGCTTATATATCAGTAAGAAAGGGAACTACAGCATACTCAAGTGTTGGGGAATGTGATAAAAAAGATATGACTGCCGATTGACCCATGAGCTGGACCCAGGCACTCAGAGGTTCCTCACCCCCTCCTTTGTCCTTGGAATGTGGGTTCCACTTGCCTTTCCCATTCCCAGAGGCTGCTTTAAGGACATGGCCTTGAGAGGGTGATATGGTGTTGAAAACACTTGCACAGTATATGTTACTGAACCAGTTAGAGCCTCTTTATAAACTTTTGAGATTTAAAGGCCAGGTGTGGAGATCCATTCATCTTGCTGCCGTCCAAGACAAACCTCGTATGTAAATTCCTTTTGTTATTATTAAAACTGCCACCTACCAACCTGGAGTGGCCTGCCTCTTTCTTCAGTCTCTCCCTGCCCTCTGAGCACAGGGGCCAGTTTCAGACTACACAAGGAAAGCTCCCAAGAGGACTGGGAACCGACATTAAGCTCATGTATGATCTCTAAAAAGTTACCTCTGTCACAGTGTATAATTAGCTTTCTTATGTGGACCTAAGTGTCAAGCAAACTTTTCTAAGATACCTTTAAATGTCTTGATCTTTATTACTCTAGTGACTTCAAGGAGAGGCCACATTTGTCTGGTGACTTTGATAAGTATTCCCAAGTTTGCTTATTCAAAGTTCTTGGGGTATAAGGATAGACCACTGGATACATCATTTACTCATGAGGATTTCAGAAGAGTTTTAAGACCTCTTATTTCTTGCAAGGCCTGAAAAGGCATAATTACAGTTTTTCTTCTTGCATTGTTGATATTGTATTTTTAGAATCAGAATGTCAAAGAAACAAAATGAATTGGCAGACTCTGAAAAATGCTTTCTCATAAGCAGCTAAAATTGTTGGTACTTAAAACATTTCAGGAATTTGTATTACAGGTTACTATTTTGCTAATTCTATTCCTTATTTTTATTTAGAAAATCCAAAACACTATAAACATAAGTAGAAATTAGAGCTCATAAACACAGTCATATCATCTTTGAACATAAAAAGAGTTAAGATATTTTATCTGGTGGTACTTGGTAGCTATGTGAAGGTATGGTTGGAAATACCAATTTGTAATGAGTGGTCCTTTTCCACATTACGTATGTAGTGGTTCATGGTTACAAAATTGTTCATTTAGAGAGGCAATAAGTATAGTGGTTTAAATAGAGCATGGAAGTCATACAGAATGGATCTGAATTCTGGCTCTTAAACTTACTCTCTGAATAATCTTGTGTAAGTTGCTTCATCTTTCTGGGCCTCAGTTTTCTCTTCTATAAAATGGGGATTAAGTGAAATAATGTATGTATGGTGCCCAACACATGGTAAGCACTCAGAAGATGGCTATAGTAGAGTTCAAAAGATTAAAAGTTCACTTAGGACTACGTTTAATAATTTAAAGGATTTCTTTATATCTTGTTGCCAGGAAAAGGACTTAGGTATTAACAAGTATAACTTTATTTTCTAAATCATATAACTTATGGAATTACATGGTTTTAATGCCTGATCAAGAGTCACGTAGGGAGCAAATTCCAGGGCCTACCCCAGACCTAATGAATCAAAATCTCTGGAGCATGAATCCTAGGAATTAAAAAAAAAAAAAATTTCATCTGATTCCGAAGACTATTCAAGTTTGAGAACCACTGAGGCAGAGCTTATGTTCAAGAGTGTACTGAATGAACACTGATATGTTGGAGTGGGGGGTATTAAAGACAAGGTTATAAATGTGATTATGTGTGTGAAGCTTTGTCAACTATAAAGCACTATAAATGAAGGGTAGTGTTATACAAAGAAGCATAATCATAGACTGCTGGTGCTGGAGAGATCTTAGGAAATTGAGGTCCAGTGAGGTTAATGTAACTTGCTGCAAAGTTAGGCAGCAAAGCAGCCAAACACATATGGCGTTATAAAAGTACCAAATGGGTGTTAGAGACATACAATATCTGAGAGCTTGCGGGGAGAGCTTATTGGGGTTGGGGAGGTCAGGAAAGATTTCATGGGGAGATGAGAACTGAGCTGGGTCGCGAAGGAGGATTAAGGCTCATGTTAGTCATACAGGGGGAGGGGGACTGAGCAGAGATGCAGAGGGAGGAATGTACAAGGCAGGAGTTCAAGGGTGTGAGTCAGACCGCGTGAGATTGAGCAGGAAACTCCTGTAGAGATGTAGGGGAAAGAGTGGTGGCTGGAGAAAGCTTGTGGAGTGCCTCAAGTCCTAAGCTAAAGAACTGAAACTCTCTTGCAAGCACAGGGGATCCAAAGGTTTCTGACTAAATACTTGGAGGGTGAAAGTCTAATAGCTGGGCTTTGGATCCAAAGGGCCTATGGACAGAGACTAAAAGCAGGAGGCTACTGGAATATTCTAGGAATGAGGCAAGAGAGGTCTGAACAAATGAGAATGGAAAAAGCCAGATGCTATACAGGGAACTGACAGTTCTTGGGATCTTTGTGGGGATCAAAGGAGACAGAGGAAAAAACCACTGTGTGTGGGAGGGTGGGGATAGGGGGGATGGGACTGGGATTATGGTCACATCACTGACAGAAATAGGAGGCCAGGTTGAAAGAAAAGGAGGTTGGTCTGAGACAGTGCTCTGTAGGGAAACATTAAACACAACTCACCTTCATATCCTCAAAATCAGTTATCCCCATCTGAGGGAGGTTTGAACAGTTTACGTAAATGAGCTTTCGACCACAGATGAAGTTTGTGGTAAAACATTCCTGTTAGAACAACAAGAATATCACTCAAATGATTATGGTAAATAGAAGGAAGAAAAGAAAGAAAAGAAAGGAAGAAAGAAAGGAGGGATGGAGGGAAGGAGAAGAAAGGGTTGGGGGAAGAGAAGGGAAGGAGAGATAAATCAGGTTTGTTTCTGGTTCTGTATAGGGAAAAATTTTTAATTCAGTTTTAAATTAAATTCAAATTTAAAGTAATCCTAATAATCCCACATATTTTCCATCTAAGCTTTCCAATAAATTTCATACTGTTCCTTAATATTTTTTTTTTCTGGCATGATACACCTAGTGCTCCTTTCATGCCTCAATTACATTTTTAAGCAGTACAAAAGATTTCAGACCTTGTGTTTTTTTTGTGGTAGCCTAAGAACATAGTTGGCATCAATGAAATAAGAGGATTTACCCTATCTTTTTTTTCGGTTTCCTCTTTTTTAATTTTTTTAAATATTTTTTTATTGACATATA